TTTTGACCACCAAGGTGGCTTGTTTTTCCCCCTGTATCTAACAACCGGGCATCCGGCTGACAAAGAACTATTCATGGCTTTAGTGCCCTGATTAACCAACCCGTCCAATTCCACCCGCGTGGCGGGGTCCCGGGGAGGTATCTTTGGCAATAAAGTCCCCAGTTTTTTATTGTAAACCCTCCAGTCGGTATTACGCACATTTCTGAACTCCCTAACATGGGGGGTCTTAAGATCTATTTCGAATTGAATATAACAATGGTCAGAGTAAGACTTTTCACTAAGTACTCTCCATCTCTTGATTTTATGGACAAACGAGTCCGAAGTCAGGGTTATGTCCAAAACTTCCTCTCTACTCTTTGTTATAAAGGTCGGCTCTGAGCCTAAATTCAAGACACTAAGTTTATTTCCTAGAATGAAGTCTAGTATCGACTCACCTCTAGCGTTCGTGTCCGTACTCCCCCACATCGAATTGTGAGCATTAGCGTCGCAGGAGACAACCAGTTGTTTTTTCTTATAGGCTGCTTCCTTGACTAACGTCCGAACCTCCTCTGGTGGTGCGTCCTTGTCATGGGCCATGTAGGCAGAGGCTACCCAGAAGCTGGTTTTATCCAGTTCTATGCTTGCCGCTACCAAATCGCCGTCACTTAGCTGTGGGAGCAGGAAGATGTTTAAGTTGTTCCTTGCTAATATGCAAGCTCGAGTCTTACCTGCATTTTGTGCGGCAATTAGCTTAAAGCCCTTCACCCCAAGCCCGCAGATTTTGTTGCCGAGTATCCACGGCTCCTGGATGAGGGCAACGTCAAGTCCACCGGCAGCCAGGCGGACCTCAAGATTCGCGGACGCGAGTTTAGAATGGTGGAGGTTGATCTGGATCAGCTTCATAAGAATCCGTCCGTTTTACCTCCACCATTGTGACATCTACGTCCGCCTCCTCGATCTCCTCACCCTCGGTGTCATCGGCGAGGAGATCCTCTTCATAAAACAGCGGCCCCAAACCGGTTAGCCTCTCTGAGTCGGATGAGCATTGGCTACTGGGCAACCCTTCTTCACCACCGCTGCGCATGCCGGACTTATCACTCTCCTCATTAAGGTCCAAGCCCGGCTCGTCGCTGCGGTGGATTCGAACGGTTGAAACCATGTTGAAGTTTGATCAAACCGCTTGCGTTGTGTATGGAAAGTCGAAAGAATTTATCCGCACCACTAGTATACTCTAGCCACTATCGGCACCCCAGCGTGCCGCGTCACCCACTTTGGGAAGGCTTGCTTTACACATTCATGTTTATGGCATACTGGTGACGATAAGTATACTCCTATACTAATAATTAGTACATATTTTGTTCTAGTGAGCTACTGGTAATTGACATTTCAACAACCTAGAAAAAAATGTAACGGCCATTTCAACATTGGCTTCAGGTAAAAATGTTTAAATAATTGAAAAACGAATATCTTGCCTCCCCTTTGATAATGAACTCGAAGGCAGCCGTGGTTAACCCATGTATGCTACCTTCGTTGTGAAATCCAGCCCATTCTTGAAGAAAATTTATGTAAAAGAGATCTTATTTTTCCAATAGAGAATGGGCTTCACCACATTTGCTTCTCGTCTTCTACATTTGCATTTCATTTTCAAAGTAAAGTTATTTATAAATACATGTACGCGTCAAACAATTATAAAATATTTGCTTTTAAAAACTTGGAAATAAGCTTTTTGCTATAAACATTTAATTTACGCAGGTAAAACTAATTTATCAGAAGTTCATTCTATAAACTCATTTAGATCAGATTAAAACTATTAAGAGCTGTGACTATTCAATTTACAAATAGCTCTTCCTGAAAAAAGCAAAGCAATCTAATTTTTGTATACTTTTTGCTTTGCTTTGAGAATACTTGGAAGTACGAGTATTATCGATACTTTTTTGCAAATATGAGTACTGGCATCGATACTTCTTTAGAGTATTCTATATGAGTACTAGTATCGATACCTTTCTAAAAAGTTCTATCACGACGAACGGGCATACTTGCTCGTAACTTTATTTTTGTTTACCTGGTGAAAAATACGTATATATGTATGTGATTCAAGATAAGACATTTCGTTGCTTACAACAATGTTTAAATCGATAATTTATCTTAAGAAATGGCAAAGGAATCAGTGATCGGACTTAAAAAATTTGTGTGGTAGAACCTGGAAAAAAATGTGCAAGGATTCACCTCAATTGCAAACATTTTAATTAGAATCTAAAACAAAATTAATTTTAGTATAACAAAGTGCAAGATTGAAGTTGATACAAATTGCGTTGAGTTTTGGCAATTGTTTTCCTTGAGTTTCGAACATATTTTGAAAGATTTCTGCAACCTTGCAAAGTGCTGCCAGCTTTTCCTTTTATCACGTCACGATGTAGCGAACAAATGTGGCTCGTTCCAGAAATACTACTTGGCATTTGCCGATTTTGACAATTCTCAAGTAAAAGTAAACAACGCTTTAGAAATTTGAGATGCACTAAAATTTGCTAATCCTTTCACAAAAATCGCCGGTTTGCATAATTTTCGCTATTAATTCTTTTTATGAATCATATATTTTGCAATTTAACACAATAAAACCACGTTTGATGTCGAAAAATTGAATATTGAGAAAATTTACTATTTTACAGTTATCTTATCCTCCCATTCTGCCTGTTGTTAGTGTTTAGTGTTGAACAATTTTTGCTCTTAAAATTAAGAAAATTATGTTGAGCAAAAATAAAACTACTCAACAACGCGAATATGTGGTAGATTTCAGACCTAGTGTGGTAGATGTGCTCTAAAAAGTGACAGATCTACAACAATGTGGTAGAAGTCCGATCACTGAAAGGAATCTTATAGAATATATGCAAAATTTTAATTTTTAACATTTTTTCATTTTAAATTTCGACTTGTCCGACTATTTTGTTAACTAGTATACATACATAGGGTGCCCATTCTCAAGACAAATTAACCATTTATAAATGGTTGTAAACAACGAAATGTTTTCTCTTAAATGGCATATGTAAGTACTTTGAGGGTGTATTCAAAATTCTATATACGCACAATATTATTTTTGTATATTTCACTTCAAATCTCACGAAATCATAAATGCAAAAGTATGGTTGACACCGGATCAGCTGTTTAAGTATTTATGACCAAATAGTTAAATCGTGTGAATGAATGTGGACAATATTTGTCACTTTACTGCTGTGCGCAAATGTGTTCCAAATCATTTGGATCTTTGGCAGCCAAATCGTCTGATCGCAAAACAAATCATTTGAACATGGCTATCCAAATGTGCAAATGTGGCATTTTGTGTACAAATTTACAAATCGTGTGATCCCTGCTTTACACTATGTTCAAACAGGCCAATTAAATTGCGGTATTGAGTTTGGTGTTCACACACAAGTCAGCTGCCCAATTAGCGATACGAAATCAGCTGTTGGATTACCTACAGTGATGGAAAAGTTGTTACAATCGTAACTTTATTTGGTTTGAAAGTACTTTCGGTACAAACACACAATTTTAAGTAGATTTGTAACGTAGCCAAATAGCTTCTCAGGAAATCAGTTCTTATTTTTTACTGACATTTCAATGCATTTTCTGGTGGTCTGATAGCTTCCCTCCTTTGTGAAGATGTATACACATGATACAGAAGGGTGGTCAAAGTAACGCAACTGTAGTTGATTTCGCCAGATAGATGCAAAATATTTCTTTTTAAATGTCCGATCGAACAACTAGGACGAAAGTGATTTACCTTTTCTACAACATAGTTTTGTTTCGCGCTGCTCCAAGAGATTCTTTTCATAGCCAAAAATATGTTTAATGGGAGTACAGAAGTTGATATGGCATCGATGGGAATTGTTGCCTCCTATTTTTCTTTATTTATAAATACATATTTACTTTTTAGGTACATCTATCTACTTTTAGGTAAAGTTTCCGTAAATTAGGTACAATTTTATAATTCAATTTTCCATCCCTGATGGAATATCAGCTGTAAAAGAGGACCAGAAAAAAACAGCTGATTGCTCTTTGTTCAATAAACATACCTCCAAGTCAAAATTAAACATACCTAGCAGGGTTGCAGAGAGAATCTGACAAATTGATTGCCAATTAATTACTAATTGGCAATTAATAATTTGAATTTTCGTATGATAAATTGTGTAACAATTATGGCTTAAATTTGTGAAAATGTTCTTAATTGCCAAAAAGGTGCCTGTTTGAACATAGTCTAATATTCAATACCCCATATCTGCACTTTTCACAATACTGAGTTCTGATATAAAAATCCTGCTAAGGCTTAACTGTCAACCGCGATATTAATGCTGACCTTTTATAGCGCTTGACAGAGGAATTTACTCTTAAGTTTGAAAGTCAGAATTAACATCAGTGGTGACAGGTAAGTCCCAGATGGGAAAATTGCAGATATAGGGTATTGAATATAAGCCCTCGATATGCTTACTTCTTTTTAACAATTTTCGTAGCGTATAACTTTTTCTAACCTTTTTAAAAAACGAACTTAGCTTCGCTTTTGCGATCATCTGTTGACACTGTCACTCACACAGATTTTGTTCGTTAGATGTTAAGAATGCATTCAATAGTGCCACCTGGAAAGAAATACTATACGTTCTCCGCACCCTGCATTACCTTGCTATCTGAAACGCATCATCTCTAGCTATCTATCCGATAGAGTTCTGTGCTACGACGGCGTAAGAAGGTAGAAAAGGTGGTGCTTAAAGTTGGCCACAGCATGATAGATTTCAAGCCATGTGTAAAGTACTTAGGGGTTTTGGTGTATCATCGGCTTAGCTTCCCTGACCACTTGCAGTACGCGAGTAAAAGAGCTGCGACTACGACGGTAGGCCAGTCAAGAATAATGGTAAAAATCGTTGGACCAAGACAGCAGGCAAGACAGGTTCTAGCTGGGGTGGTGAGGTCTATCCTCCTGTATGGCGCTGCAGTTTGGTACAACGCATTTCAGTACACCTCATATGCACGAAGTGTAAACTCCGCGTACCAATTGTGTGCTCTTAGAGTCTGCTCTGCGTTCAGAATGGTATCGGAAGACGCGGCGCTCATCATAGCTGGCCTGTTCCCACTGTGCGAGAGCCGCGATACACAAAGAACACCAAGGAGATATCAGCGCGTACAGATCAACAGCAAAGCAACGCGGCATATTCCAGTGGCAGACACGATGGGATAGCCCAACTAAGGGCAGGTGAACCCATCGGCTCATCCCCAGAACGGAAGCATGGCTCGACAGAAAGCACGGGGAAGTAGACTATTACCTTACCCAAATTCTCAGTGGGCACGGCTGTTTTAAAGCGTACCTTCACCGATTTTGGCATGAAGAGACCCGATGTTGCGAGCAGTGCGAACCAGCAGACCTCGAAGATGCGGAACATGTTCTTTTCGTATGCCCACGCTTCAGAAAGCAATCTGGTGCCACTGATGCTGAGGGGCAACCACGCATGGAGCGATGTATAGCATATGGCTGCCACAGGCAAGGCGTACACGCGAACGCCAGGAAAGGGTGTGAGCCGGCAAGGAGATGCAGCGGCGAAAAATACACGTAAACAGACGATACCAGACTTATAATCGAACTTTCCATAGAATGTACAGGGACATGGTGGGTGGGGGCATACAGATCCGACGGCGGGCTCTTTCCCAAACTTGTACTAACAGTGGGTGGTAACAAGTAGATGCAAGATGACGTAAGGCATCAGGACAGGAACGGACGTTGAGACTAGTGCTCAAACCACCTCCCGACGAAAACTTGACGGTAGTACCGGAAGGAATCGGTACTGTGACGGTAGGAGGTTTAGTTCGGGTTAAAGTTCCACACTGATGGGGTTAGGCTTTTGATGCTCCCTCCTCATAAAAAAACCCACATCAATGTTGACAGCTATAATTTCGAGAAATTAGAGATTTTTGTTCACTTGGGAATCAAAATCTACACCGATAATAATGCCAGCATTGAATCCAACGCACAATCACTCTGGATTGAAAGGAAACTCAGATGTAAAG